CAAAATCAGAGCTGAACTGACAATGGAGAAGTGAGTAGTGATTGCACTGTGGAAGCTTGCAACAACACCAGACTATCAGTACATGAGCAATCATGTTAGACTTGCAAAAACCACTACCATGCAAGTGTGCAGGGCTATGCAGGACTGTGATTCTGGGCAGTGTGCAGGACATAGTGGATGGATTTGCAGCAACGGGGTTCCCAAACTGCAATGGAGCAATAGAGGGCATGCATATGCCTATTTGGCACCAGCGCCCTTGCCACAGAGTACATCAAAAGAAAGGGCTACTTTTCTATGGTTAGGTAAGCGTTGGAGGATCACCATGGATGCTTCACCAAGATCAGTTTGGGCTTGTCCATGACACTCACACTTTAAAACCACAAGACTGTTCAGAAAGCAATAAACACAAACATTCTTTCCCAACCAGTAGAGCAACATTGAAATGCTGATAGTGCTTCTGGAGGACTCAGTCTACTCCCTGTTCACTGGCTCAGGAAGCCGTACACCGGCCACCTTGACAGCACCAAAGCAAGATTCAGTTCCTAGTTCCACAGGAGCAGAATGACAGTTAAATGTGCTTTTGGTAGCCTGGAGGAACATTTGGCTCTCAGTGAGAAAAATATCCACTGGGTTATAACTGCAGCCTGTTGTGCGCTGCATAATATCTCTGAGCACAGAGGGAAAAGTTGATGCCAGGGTCAAGATGAAGCAGCTGTCTGATATCACAAGCTCCGAGGCTGAGGGCGGCTTTCAAAGAACACTTTAAAGGGTAGCCAAAGTCATCTTCTCTGGACCTCCAGCTTTGGGTGCTGCTAAGAAGTGTGTAGTGCTGGCTGTACATTTATAAATGACAGGGTGTCTTCCTGAAGTTATGAATTATGAGGTGCATGCAGTACATTTACAAGTACTGTTTGCTTTGAGTACAGCTGTGCATTCTTCAATATGTGGTGTGGACTACTAACGATAACTTTATTCTCCAAAAATAAAAATGTATTTGGGCAAAACACTGCAAAAAAAACAGGCAATGTTCTACTTTAAAATTGGAATGGGAGTAAACATTTCAGTCCATTTGAGTGCACAAATGTGTAACCATAACAGACTACATACACCAACTGTGGTTGTCAGAGGTCAGCGTGTGTATGTGAATGTGGTTTTCCTGGCTAGCTCCTAGTGTGAAATGGTAGGGGTGAGGATGAGGCCAGTGATGCCCTGTGGTGTGTGGGTGTGTGGCTGTGTGCGCGCTCAGGGAACAGTGACAGTGGAGTTCTTCAAGGACTGCAAAGGGTGATTTATTTATTTATTTTTAAATATCTATACGTCAACCAGCATCTGCAGCATTTGGATTGGCTGCCTGTGGAGACGCCTTCATTCCTGGTGCACTTCCAGCACCTTGTCCAGGGTCTTTGAATTCCTCCTCCATGCTGTCAGTCATGTTGAACCACTAAGCCATTGTTCATGGGCTGCTGCAGCATGGTCTTGCAGACTCTTTCTGAACAGATTCACCTCTTCTTTCTCCTCCTCAGCAGGGTCAGGCATTCTGGGGTATGGAAGAGGCACCTCTAAAGGCTTCCATACTAGAAGCTGCTGATAAAAACAGACAGATGCACCATTGACTTTACAATCTCAAGGGAAAGGTAAGTTTCAAAACTCCCATCCCGTATTCACATGAACACTTTTAAGCAGACACCCTCTGCCCCATTCACTGACAACACCAGACAATTTGGCACTAGGTGAGAAAATAGAAATTCCAATTCCCTGGTAGGGCCATATACTTTTTATCTGCCCACTTGCAGGCAGGCAATGCGATGGAGATGCCAAATGTTCTTAGCAGGTTCCTTAAGAGCATCATTGATAGGCATGGCAAGCCTCATGAAGGGTGACATATGTAACCACTCCAGGAGTTTATGGTGGGACTCCTGCATCTCCTCCAAGGGAATCTGGAAGGTGTCAGCAATTCGCTTCATCAGTTCCTGGAACTGCTTGAAGTCATCTGCTCCGGAAGACAGTGGCGTTACTTCCTCCTTATCACTTGATGAAGTGGTGATATTAGTAAGAGGAGTCATCTCCTTGTCTGCCCTTGATTCTTGCTCCTAGAAGCACAGGCTTCCTCTGGGCCCCAGGGGTGATCTGCCCCCACGCGACCCTTTCCCCCAAACTCCCACCCCTGCCCTGCCTCTTCCCACCCAGTTCCACCCCACTCCCGTGAGCACACCCTGTCCCATGCTTCCCCCCCCCCCCAGCCCCTCCTGTACAGCACGGAACAGGTAATTGCGGTGGGCGCTAGGAGGGATGGGGAGGAGTTGATCAGCAGGGCTGCCAGCAGATGGCAGGTGCTGGGAGGGGAGAGGGGGGAACTGGCTGCCGCTGGGTGCTAAGCACCCACTAATTTTTTTTCCGTGGCTGCTCTAGGACTAGGTACAGGTGGTGGCAAGCCTCTGTGTTCTTGCCATGTGGGTGTCTCTTAAGGTCTAGCCTCCTCTAGTACCTCAGTGGAGGAGGAGGAGTCATGTGAGTAGAGAGGGAACCCTAGACTGAGATTTGAGTGTCAACATACTCCAAGGGAGGGAGGGGGGAGAATAAGGATTCTGCTCGTACTGTAGAAGAGAGTAAGCAGGGGATACTCTAGGTGATTTGTGGGGGGAGGAAGAGTGTTAATCAGGGACTGAGTAAATCTCAGTAGGGATAACTGGCAGGGGAGGAGGGGCCTAAGGACCTGCTAGTCTCCCCTATTAGACTCTAAATTCTTGCTGTACCCATGCCATCAAAGTTGAGGCTGAGCAAAACCACCCCACCCCTCAGTAGGTGGGCCATGGCCCTACACCATGGGGGGTGGGGGTTAACTGAATTGCTTTAACAGGGCACCTACAGTGGCCAGAGCCAAATTTGAGCATAGCCACATGCACAAATAGGGCAACGCAAGTAGTCCTAACTTTGAAGTATAGACAGGGCCTATGGCTGTTCTTAGTCTTGGCTATCTCAGGAACACAGTCTTTTTGTGACCTGACCCTTAGATTACAGCTGCATTCCACTGAGACAAGAAAAGTGGTGACCAGTTGGGGCAGGCATGTGGCCACAGGTGACAACATTTTCACAGGAACTAGCCCTAGCCTATAGCACTCAGGGCTAGACAAAAAACAAGCACTTGCCTCAACTGCCTTCAGAATTAAATACAAAGCCCACCTTTCACTCTTGCATTCCCACAATCATATCCTCATTTTCACCAAAAGTGGGTATCTCCATTTTTACACATGGGAAACCTGAGGCATAGTAGATGCCCCACTTTTGTTGTAACAAGTGTGAGATACACAAGGGTCCTGCTTTACACCGGTGCTGAATACACACATCTCCACCTGAAAGTAATGGGACTTGGGGCTGTTAGGCCTTACATGTCTTGTGTTGGGCACCTAAAATTAGTGGATACATATAAGTCTGGATAACATTCCCAAGGGTACACTGTGTAGCTTGAAAGCTTGTCTCTTTCGCCAACAGACGTTGGTCCAATAAAAGATAATACCTTACCCACCTTGTCTCTCTTGTCCTCGGACCTACAAGGCTCCCACAACATTGCAAACAGCTGAGTCAGTAACACAGTTTGCAACAACACCCACTCCATCTCATCCCATTCCTTTGCTCGACTCCCTTCATGGATAGGTGAACCTCAAAAAGCCTTGAGGCTTGACTTTGATGTTTTCTAATAGGCAGGTGCTTGTTTAAAGCATATCTGAAACTCTCTTCCTCAAAATCTTGTATGAACAGATAGTCTTGCTTGCTAGTATGGAGTTTGACTAGCTGTCTCTTGGGGCTGGTTAGGTCAGAAACACTGTAAGAACGACAGCCTCGCTCTCGACTTCCAGATTTCAGCTGGGATCAGCCGTGGAAGTGGAGAGGGACATGGAAAAAGATTAGGGAGGAAAGAAGAAAGACACTACATTTTAGAACCTCCTTGGTGTGCTTTGGCCAGAAGTTTAGCTTAAGTCCTGTGTGTTATCTAAAGAGATTTGTCTGTCCACTAGTAATAAGAGCTAATGAATAATGATGTACAAGTACACTGAAGATGAACATTAAAATTGCTTTTATTGGGATTCAAAGAAGAAAATTAAAAATTTCGCTGCAGCTCATTCCCTGCTGATGGTGGTGTACGGTCATGTTTATATATATATAAAATAAAGTTGTGCTGTGACCTTTTTCTTGTATTTGGAAGAGGGGCACAGGTGAATGGAGGATAACTGTGCTCTTATGTGGAGAGCCATTTCTTGTAGTAAGCTTGCTGCAGCAGATCCTACAGTCATTTGTATTGCCATGAGGTGTACAGTAATGAATGGAAACAGATACTTTATTTCTGTACATGGGCACACCAAGGGAAATTATATAGAAAACACAAAGAATGATAAGGTTGCACCATCAAGCACTGGGAAATGACAGAACGCAGGTTACCCATGGACCCTTAGTTCACCTCCCCTATGGTACAAGAAGCTGTCCCTTGTCGCAGTACTGCTCCCTGGAACCACAGCCTTGGAGCAGTAATTGCAGAGAGCACCTGGAGACCACGTTAAAGCATACTCAGCCCAGACAAAAATCTTCAAAGAATCTATCATATCTCCACTGAGCATCTGCAAACCGAGATTGTCAAAGGCTCATAACTTGGCCAGATTAGGGCAGAGTTTCATGGGAGAAGGCAAAAGGCACAGCTCTTACATCAGGGTGATCCCTCCGCCAAATGGCAACGCCATGCTCCAACGTATGGAGGTGCGAGAGCTGCTTATATAAAAAACATTATAAGATGATTTTTAACATGGAAAAATACACTGTTTTGCCACTCATCTCATTCTGAGATGGGGCCAAAACATTTATACTGAAGATTAAAAGTTATATGAGGCCTGAGGCTGACAGCTGGTCTAGAAAATTTGCTATCTACACCAACTATACACACACACACAAAAGTATAGTCATCTTATAAATATATAAATAGTTGTTTTTTTTTTTTTTTTTTTTTTTTACACATTTATGTTCTATCAGCAGTCACTCAAACATTCCTGAACACCATCATGGAGAATGCCTATAGGTTATAACAGAAAATAATAACTTACTATAAATGTTTGGAGCTGGTTTTGAGATTTAATAGAGAATGGCATGCCTTTTTATAGTTTTTGTTTCTTTTTTAGCCCTATGCAATTCTATAGCAAGACTATACTTCACTATTCCATTTTATAGGAGAGTTTGAAACACCTATAGCAAGATAATTATTTTCTTGTACATTCTATAGGATTTTCCATAAGGGTGCCCACAGATATAATGGGAGTTCTCTTATATTCTAATAACAAAAAGCTTTGCCCTCCTACAATCCTTAGCTTACTTGGAGAACAGAGCCTCTTCATTGTTAATCTGTAGTGGGCTGAGGGGTGGTTGGGGTGCAGAGTAGTTTGCCTCCCTCAGGGGGACATACACACATCTCACTGTCCCTGGGGATGGTGCTGCCAGCAATTACGATTCTGTCATTGTCAATGGGACATACACACTGGGGACAGCCATCAGGAGGGCTTCCGGTCTCCTTGCATGTAGGTGAAACCGAAGGACAAACTGAAGTGCAAGAGATATTCCCTGTAGAAACACAGGTGCAGAGTTGGGTGGCAAAGTCTATGTGGAAAGATTTCCCCACAGGGACGTTTCCATCCTCGTAGCCTTGCATGGCGCATTCCAGTTGCTGGTAATCTGGACAGGAACATGGAGGGGCACATATAGCACAGCAGTTCTTCTCCGAAGTCACCGCTGTGTGTTGGTCAGGGCAGGGGCTACATTTGACACGAGTGCAGTCTGCTTTCAAGGGGTTACAGGCAGCTGCGGGTAGCAGAAAGCAGCCCAGCAACTGGCAAAGCAAGTGTTCAGGCTTCATGTTTTCTATTTAAAAAGAGAGAGAGAGAAGCAAAGAGCAATAGCAGAAATTGCTGCTTCAGACACTTGAGTCACTTATACAATTGTAAATGTAAGTGTTCTGGGTGGAACTGTGCTACTGAAAGCAAATGGTCACGTTCCCGTGAAATAGTTACTCACTGGTCAGCTGTACTATTGTAATTATAATCTGTGTAGCGATAGCACCTCGTGCCCCCAGGCCAACCAGGCTAGCTGCTGTACAAAGCACAGAACAAAACAAAAACCCCTGCCCCAGAGAGCTTCAATTAGTTCTTCCTTTACTTACCCGGCAAGGCCAGCGTTCCAGTTCTGGGTTTCTCCTCAAGAATGGACTCAAAGTTAGTCTGTTGTAATGGACTGATCATTGTACTGGGAGCCAGGGACCATGAGAACTAATGCTGGCTTTGCCACTTACACTCTTTAACCTTGGGCAAATTACTTAATCCCCCTGCCTCAGTTTCCCCATTTATAAAAATGGAGATAAAATTTACTTTCCTACTTCAGAGGAGTGATGTAATTCACAAAGTGCTTTAAGGATGAGAACATCTAAATATTAAACTTTTAAGTCTATTTATAAAAGCTGGTTTGGTCATTTTTAATTTGCATGTCACTGCCTGCTTCAATAAAGTGTCGTGTTACAAGATTTGGAGATTTTTTCAGGCCAGGAGGGATCATTAGATCACCTACTCTGACCCTGTGTACGGTACAGGCCATAGAATTTCATCTAGTTACCCCTGTATTGAGCCCAATCACTTGTGTTTTGGTTAAAGCAGATCTTCTAGAAAGACATCCAGTCTTGATTTGAAGTTTGTTCCCAGAGCCGGTGCTAGCCCATTGGGGTCCATAAACAGGAATATCCTCCCCTCTCCTCTCCCTAATACTAAAGCAGGCAACAAAAAGCAAATAGGGGGCCCTCCTGAGCTTTCGGGCCCATAAGATATTGCTTAGTCTGCTTATGCCTAACCCCAGCTCTGTTTGTTTCAATGGTTGATGACCGTCACTGTTATTCCGATTAGAAAGGCAAATTTTTTTGGTCTGGCTTCAGCTTCCAGCCTTTGGTTCTTGTTCTGCCTTTATCGTCAATTAAAGAGCCCTGTAGTACCTAATATTTTCTCTCTGTGAAAGTACTTATACGCTGTAATCAAGTCATCTCCTGATCTTCTTTACGATAAACTAAACATACTGAGCTCTAAGTCTCCTGCTGTAAGGCATGTTTTCCAGCTCTCAAATCATTTTGTGGCTCTTCTCCTCTCCAAGTTTTCATCATCCTTTTTAAAATATGGACACCAGAACTATACACAATATTCTAGTAGCCAAGGCTATATACAGAGGTCAAATCACCTCTCTGCTCTTACCCACTCTGCCTGTGTTTGTACATCCAAAGATTGCATTACCCCTTTTAGCCACAGCATCGCACTGGGTGTTCATGTTCTGTTGTTGTCTTTCTGACACTAAATCCTTTTCAGAGTCACTGCTTGCCAGGATACAGTCCCCCATTCTGTAGGTATGGCCTGCATGTGGCGGTATTAAAGGCATTTTGTTTGAATGGGCCCAGCTTACCAAGTGTTGCCAACCACTCTCCTGATCTAGCATGAGGCTTGTGATATTTGGTGCATTTCTTAAAGCCCCAGCTCCTGGAGTTATGTGAATGCACAAGAATCTTAGTTTATTTTTGTTAAATGAAATTCTCTAGGCTTCATGGTTGCAGAGAGAAGCTTGAAAACATTACCCAAATGCACCTTTAAAGGCTCTGAAACCAAAGGCAAATAACAAGAACTCAAAAGGGATTCTTTTAAAAAATTCTCATGATTTTTAAGCCAATCTTCCAATTTTTGAATGCTTACCAGTGACAATATTGCTTCCTTGTCCTCATAATTATTTACCAGTCAGCCAATCTTTGATTCATCCACAAATTTTCTCCGCAGAGATTCTACATTTGCGTCCAGATCACTGATAAAAATGGCACCAGACTTAGAACCGATTCTTAGAAACACTTCCATTAGATGGTGATTTCCCATTGAAAACTTTTTGAGATCTGTCAGCTAGCCTGTTCTTAATCCTTTTAACGTGTGCTTTATTTCTATTGTCTTGTGCTAAGCTTTTAATCAGAATGCTGTGCAGTACTAAGTCAAAAAAATCTAAGTATATTACATCAATGCAGTCTCCTTTGTCAACCACATTTGTAATCTTCAAAAAAAATCGGGGTTGGTTGACAAGACCAATTTTCCCTAAAGATACAACATTAAAGAAATTTGTTAGTTAATAGTTACATAGGGATGAATTTTCTGCTCAGATCAGTCCAATTTTCTTTAAGATACCCCATGTCTCCTGACCTGATCTCCAGACCCATTCCCCAGCTACCACACACTCCTGGAAAATGGCCTCTCTAATTGAATTGACTGCTTGTAATTTATATTTCAGAATAGTAAAAGGGATCCTTTTTTAAATCAAATATGTGACTGTGCTCTAAAATATAAAACAGTTTTAATTACCTGGATAGTCTTGATGCCAAATGTGACAGATGATTTGGCTCAGCAATGGTGATCAGCCTTTTGATCTTTCTCCCAGCATAACCATACCAGTTCAGCTGCAAGGTCATCTATTTATATGCAATGGCTCTCTGAACCTTGATGCAGTACAAACAGGGAGGGAAAGCCTTTGCAACACTAAATGCATGGCTGGGAGTGGCCAAAAAGATTTTTATCTTGCTAATGGCTTCAGTTTAGTCTATATCTCTCTTGGTGATCTGTATATTTGTGAAGTCTATTCCAGATTGTGGTGCAATCCTACCCTTCCCCACCCCGCTTTAAACTTTGACTGAGAGTATTGAAAAGACCATTAGACTGATAGCCTGCTAAGCACAGTAAATATAGTGTATATTTGTATTTGGTTTTCCATCCACAAGCGTACAGAAATGATTAGAAAGCTATGAATATACACTACTGAACTGCATCCAACACTGGGGAATAACAAACTCAGGGGTTGCACAGCTGGTAGCTTCTGTAGGCCGAGTGCATTGCCCATTCCAGGGGCATCCTGTGCACCACCCTCCCATCCTCCTCTAACTGTGAGTCCCTGCAACTCCCCCACACCCACCTCTGCTAGGCTGCCATATTCTTTCCCCCCATTCTAGAGGCTGTGAACACTCTACATGCTCCTCTACCAGATTCCCTGCCTTTTGGTCCCCATGGCAGGGGATATGTTTGCTTCCTTTCCCTCCATGCTCCTCATTCACTCCCAATCTCTTTCCTGCCAGGGATTATGTGTGACCCCCATTTACCCCCACCCCCAGAGCAAGGTCCCCCCCCACTCCCTATCAATTTTAATCCCATCCTAATCTTCTTGAAGCGTCACCCTCCCTGTCGGATTTCTGTTCACCCAACCACTTTCGGTGGGCTACTGACAAATGTCTATTGTTTCTGTGGAGTCTATTAGCTGGGACAAGCTTTGCCCATTCTTTTCTAATTCATCAGTGCCACAACTCTTCCAGTCTCATCCCACAGCTACAGTGCCAATTTCTGGGGGCAGCCCAGCTAAGCATCTGTCTCCTGTCTTACTTTCTCAGGTGCACCCCTTAAACCTGAGAACCACTTTGCACTTCACAAGTTAGATAACACCCAACACTTGGCCTAAATGAGCAAGGAAGCATGTGATCCTTATGGTAAATGCAGGTGGTTTGAGTCATGCCAGCCACGCCCCAGATGGCATTTGCAAGTAGGGGTATTTGGAGGAATGGGCCCATTGAAGGAGTGAATTTTGGGCCTGATGTTGCAAACACTTATACATGTTCTTCCTATAACTTCACTGCGACGACTCCTAGTGAAGTGACACGGGCTGTAGTCCACGAAAGCTTATGCTCTAATAAATTTGTTAGTCTCTAAGGTGCCACAAGTCCTCCTGTTCTTCTTTTTACAAATGCTGAAGTGTTTGTTTGCAAGATTGGGCTCTCCCAGTCATTGTGAAAATAAATGTCCTGGTTAGTTTTTAGCCACAAGCCTGACATGGTCTCCAAATTTAGCCTGTCTAATAGGGGAAGAAAGAAAAGAAAAATACACCTCATCTCCCCACCCACCCCTTAAGCTTAAAATTCCACTTCACATTGTTCCTGTCTGATGCCATCCCTGTGGCATTATAAATATGCTCCCACCTAAGCTCTAGTTCAAAGGTTAAAATCTTTAAAATTCCTGCATTGGCCAAAGGAAAAAAAGGCAAAAGTCACACACAAATAGGAGCAATTGCTGTGATAACTCACCCCGAGTGGCTAACAACTTCCAAGTGGCACCTCAGTTGTGTTAGCACAGGCAGCGCGCGTTAGGCAACATTACTAACAAAATCCTCTTTCAGCTGTCACACTTGTTCGTAGCCCTCCTGACTTGAGCACCAGTCCCATCCCCCAGCTGCCACACACTCCTGAAATCATCCAGTAACCACTCAGACCCACCCCCATTCCCAGCTCACCTGCAAACCCCTCCCATGTTCCACCGCATGCAACATGCTTTATCTTCTCAAAAGATTGGAAGGTAAAGGAACACTGCCCAGGAGAAGGGTGGCAGAGTGAGGAGGATTATACAAGACAGACAAGGTAGGTGAGGTAATGTCTTTTATTGGACCAACTTCTGTTGGTAGGAGAGACAAACTGACCGGCTACACAGAAGAAGAGCTCTGTGTAGCTGGAAAGCTCATCGCTTTCAGCAGCGGAACTTGGTCCAATAAAAGATGTTACCTCACCCACCTTGTCTCTCTAATATCCTGGGATCAACAAAGCTACAACACCACTGCAAACAAGGATTATACAAACAGGAGTGGCTCTATGTATTTTGCCGCCCCAAGCACGGCAGTGAGGCAGCTTTTGGCGGCATGCCTGCGGGTGGTCCGCTGCTCACGCGGATTTGGTGGCATGCCTGTGGGAGGTCCACCCGTCCCGCATCTTCGACGAACCTGTGGGACCGTCGGACCTCCTGCAGGCAAGCCGCCGAAAGCGGCCTGACTGCCGCCCTCACGGCGACCTGCAGGCTGCCCTCCACGGCTTGCTGCCCCAGGCACACGCTTGGTGCGCTGGTGCCTGGAGCCGCCCCTGTATACAAAGCACTTGTGGCTATAAACAGTGGGAAAGGGAGAGACTTTACTGTAATACCAAAAAAAAAAAAAAAAAAAAAAAAAGACTGTCAGTCAAAGGGGGAGAGAAAATAGATAGAAAGACCTGTTAGATCACAGGTTTTGTTGTTTAGCTACATAATTGCAGTATATTGGCCCCAAGTGCATGGGGAAGTGTAGCTGAGGCAAAGGCTGAAATAGCTAATTGCTGTTTTTTGTTTGCTCTATCCCGTGTTTGTTTAATCCTGCAGTCTTTTTGCCTGAGAGAGACAATGATATTTCATCTCCTTTGTAAAGCCCTTTGAGAGCTACAGATAAGCCATACTATACAAGAGCTAAGTATTGTCATTATGGTTCTATCACACAATCTCAAATTCCTCACATACTGTCCCAGCAAATAAAATCCCCACCCGGCTGTCTGAGTTAAGCCACCTTCTTCCACACTCATAACGTCTACAAAACAGTTTTGCTTTGTCACTACAAAAGTCTGTACCAAAGTGAAAATGTACAGCGTAAAGTAAATGTAATATAAAAACAAATAGCACGGGGAATTTAGTTTGGGATGTATTTGTTCATTTTCATATTTCATACAATCCTTTATTTTAAATTTACCTGTGTCTACCCCAGAATTTGTAGTCTGCCTTAGAAAATGTATTGCAATTCTGATTATTCATGATTGTATGATCAAGGTCATGGCTCCTGCCCTTAGGGTTTTACAGTCGAAAGCCAAACAAAATGTGGTTGTAACAGACAAGAGGGCATGGAGGACAAGGGTAATGATAATAAAGATGCCAGCTTTCACAGGTTAACAATCTCATGGCTCTGAATCATTTGAGAGAATATTCCTTTTGAAAATAAATGAAACCAGCTACTCAGAAACCAAGGTGCCTTGCTACTGATTGTAGGTAGTTTGCTTCAGGCAGCACACACTTGGCCTTGAGTTAGGCATGAATGAGAATGACTTTTATAAAGAATTTTTCTCCGATCCTACTCAGAAGGATCCCAAAATATTTTACAAACAATGAACCTAGGGTTACCATAATTTAATTTAAAAAAAGGAGGACACTCCACGGGGCCCCGCCCCCACCCCAACTCCGCCCCTTTCCCACGCCCAGCCCCACCCCAATTCTGCCCCTCCCCTGAACGCTCCGCCCCCTGCTCCTCTCCCCCCCACCCCGCTTCCCGCGAATCAAATGTTTGCGGGAAGCCTGAAACAGGGAGGCAGAAGGTAAGCTGGCGCTGGGGCGCGGTGCGGCCCAGTCTGGCCAAGTGGCTCCCTCTAGTGGCCGGCCAGCCGGCCAGCCAAGGCCAAGAGGCTCTGGCCCTGGCGTCTCCCACCCGGTTTGGCTTGGGCCCTGGGGCGCCGGCCCCCGGCCGAGCACCGCCGGCCCTACACCGCTGGGCCCCGGCCCTGCACCGCCGGCCCCAGTGGCCCCGGCCTCTGGCCCCCGGCCGAGCACCGCCGGCCCCTTCCTCCCTCCCTCCCTATTTTCCCGGACATGTCCGACTTTTTGGGATTTGAGGCCCAAAAGCTGGACATGTCCGGGAAAATCCGGACATATGGTAACCCTAAATTGAACCCAATCCTGCATCGATTGAAGCAGCATGACTTGGGCTCCTACACCCTATGGTAATACAAATAATAAAAATAATAATCTTAACTCTAACTATTGATTCCCACGCTTAAAGTTCATGCTTAAGTCACTGCAGAAACATGGTTAAGCTACAGGTATCATTACCCCCTCTGCTGGAATGCAGCTTCTTCTACGGTGGAATGTGACATATGTCAGATAGTGCACAGCAACACTACAGCAGTTTAGGACCGAACAGAAAGACTACTGTACGCTGCAGGGAGAAATTTAATTACACACATTGGAATATGGCCAACACACTGAGTTAACAATCCCCCCCCTTTACTCCTGCAAAACATTCCATGGATTCTTTAATGACCACAAATGACTCAGGCCTCTGAGCTCTGTTTCAGATCTTGTCCTAAAGGGGCAAAACCCTCTCAAATAAATAATTCACTATATTTTTGTTTTAAATATTGTATTTGTTTTTATTTGAGTACGTAGTCATATAAAGTACAATGATTTTTCTTCATATATATAACAAAGACAATTTCTTGCAGCTATCAGAACCTTGTGTGCTGCTGGACAAACAGCAAATGGAAATCTCTCTCTCACACACACATGCATACAGCCAGCCGCACTCCTTCCTACTGAAAAGTTCTTGTTCTTGTGATTCATTTGGTGATTTTTTCCCCTCTCAATTTATGAAACCATTCTCTGGATGAATTTGAGAAAAAAAATCCACCAGCAAGGCCTGATTCTGTTTTCTCTGAAATCAAAGGTGAGGTTCCTTCAGTTCAGTAAGGGTAGGATCTGACCCTCAGGCTTGGTCTACGCTATCAACTTATGTCAGCATAACTACGTCACTCACGGGTGTGGAAAATCTGCAACCCTGAGTGATGTAGTTATACCAGCCTAACTCCCAGTGTAGACAGCGCTATGAGAGCTTCTTCCGTCACCATAGCTACCGCCTCTCAGGGAGCTGCATTAACTATGCCAATGGGAGATGCTCTCGTGTCAGCATAGGTAGCATCTTCACTAAGTGCTGCAGTGATGCAGTGCTATAAGCATAGACAAGCCCTAAAGCCAGGGCGACACTACAGACCTGTAGTGGTATA